AAGTACATAGTCGGAATCACCAAGTCGAGAGCTATCTATTGACAATAAAGTTTGATCCTTTGAACATTTAACCAGTGAAAAACAGCACACGGATTTCTCAGAATGGCATTTCCGTTGAGACTACCTCCCTATAGTCTTAACGCCCCGGTTAGCCTCACTGGAAAATAACATCTAACTATGTCAATATGCTCCTCAGACAATACTCTACTTATACTGATCTCACAAAATCTCACATATTTTTGAAGGCGAATGATGGATTTTTCAAAACCCATACGGATCTCAGGGTATTTTGCCGTTTTCTTCCGAATAAAAGCACTTTTGGTCAAATATAATACCATATTCGGAATTAGCGTGAAAAACTGCGTTGAATGGTGTATAACTCATCTAGTTTCGGTTGCCTAGTTTTGAATTCTAGAAATTTCTTAGTTTTTGAGATCCACGCAAACAATTTCGTGCTGAAAATTTGAATTTCAAGATAAAGTAACCTGAACGATTCGAAACATGTTTCTTCTAGGTTTTCGACAATGCTCTTTCCAGTAGCATTGTTTTTAAATATTGAGAAAGTTTTCTGAAGGGTTTTCCAGAGACGGGATCTCGGAAAGCTCCTTAGAAAACTTTTTAAAACCGAACTCTCATGCCATTAGAAAGAGGATCATGAAAAACCTATAAAAAAATGGTTCATGAAATTTTAGTTCACTCATAAAGCTAAAGTCCGCCTGCTCTAGCAAAAGATGCCCACTGTGTGTGGTATACCAATCACTCGTGACCTACTAAATCCTTTTTGGTATCCCAACAAAAATGAAATATACTCTAAAAGTATTTTCAAATGAAAAAGCCTTGGATTCCTTAGAGTACCGTTTAGCAGCAGTCGGGATACCAATTTTGTTTTTTTGCATCTCATACAAAACCAAAATCCGTTTCGTGGAAGGGACGAAATACCCTAATAGGTTCTTTTTAGAGAGCACTTTAGGATTATTAACGTATAACCACATGTTTCAATTCTATAGGCTATAAAAATCGACCGAAGGAGCAATTTGTATTCCTCTCTGATGGTTTCTTGGGATAGTCCACAAAATAGTCAGATTCGTTCTCCGTTCTTTAATAGAAAGAGTTTTGCGATTGCAATTATTCAAGCAGAGCTTAAGTAGTGCTTCTTCTGGCGTATTCTCGTCTTTATCGGTGCTATCAATTTAAATTGCGTACGTTCTTTTTCATTTAGGAGATAAGCCATAATACATGACGTTACCATACTGCTACAATAACATCCTTATCATTTAGTTCAGATGGAAAGAGATTAGCATCAACTAGTATTGATACACAGTTAATAATTTATACGCCAGAAAATATATCTGATGTTGTACAAGTGAAAGGTAGAATAGTTAACGATGTCGAGATATACCTCAATATTGAAGTAATTCAATGAGTTGTTTTTTATAGGCGCTCATCAGTTGAATCGAGTTACCTGTTCCAAATGGCTTGATAATCAAACATTATTGACGGGTGGTAATGATTGTTGTTTAAAAAATGGTATATTACAACAAATGGGGCACAACAATCGGTAATTTATTGTTTTGAAGTGTTTAATTTTCTTACAAGAAAAGGAGGGGGACGCGTTTGGTCGTCAATTGGCTCACTCTTAACTTTAGAAAACCTTTTATAAAAATCATTTGTTTGAACAATTTCTAGTATTTTGTATGAAAAAATTTCATGAAAAAATCATTTTTAAAAACGTTTTTTACGAGTTATATCTTGACCTACTCGATTGATAATATAAATATGACTGATGAAAATTTTGTTCATAATTCATAACCACACATATATATTAGAAAAATGACAGTCCATTTTCTATTTAAGTTCATTTTGTAGAAAATTAAATGCTCTATATTTCTTTCTGTACAAGAAACAAGTTGAGCTACAATCAATAGATCATAGAAAAAAGGGCCAGGCCTGGCAGAAGAAACTGATTTTGAAGGCACACATTTTGTGAAGAATTTAATGGACTGTGGATTCCACGAAAGGCCGGTAAATAAAATGAAAAGAAAACTTGAAAAAATTCGAGTGTGTACAAAAAAGTCCGTAAAAAATGAATGTTTTTAGATGGTTATCAATGATGTATGTATTATGTTTCAGTGTGCTATCATGATATCAACTTGTTTCTTGTACAGAAAGAAATATAGAACATTTAATTTTCTACAAAATGAACTTAAATAGAAAATGGACTGTCATTTTTCTATTCCCTCATCCATGAAGACAATTGCTTCTTTCTGAAGAGACAGAATAGTGTGAGAGATTCTGCAGAGATAATTAAAGTTTTTGGAGTTTTCTTTGTTTCACTCTAATGTATTTCTTCCTTTGTTTCATTAGAAGTCTCTTCTCACAAAAATAAAGAACAGGGGAATTGTTTTGAACTTACTTGTAATCCGGAATCGATAAACTGAGCTTGGGATGTTGTGAGAATTGCGAGTACAGCTTCTTCTGATGTTGGTAACTCGTTGATCGGAGAAGAATAAGTAATTATATGAGTTGACTGGTCATCATGACGTACAAAACTTGAGAAAAAATCACTCAATAATGGGACTAATATTTTTCTCTCAGACGAGTAGTGTTTCACTAATAGATAACAAAGTAAAGGAATATTGAATGTTTTGTCTTCGAACTTTTTGTACTGCTGATAAATACATGTTGTTGTTTGTATATTATTTATTGACGAAATGGCTAAATTTCGTGGCGGGCGATCATTGTAATTTCTTTGACGTGGACGTGCCGTTAATTGCGGTGCACAGGACGTGAAGGCTATTATTTTACCGAAGAAGGACAAGTTTCGGGGCGACAAGTGTCAAAAAAAACCGGTGAAGTTCTTCACAAGAAAGGCGTTCTCAAATCACCCACAGTCACAAGCTTCCCCGATGATGAAACAGAAAGTGCATTATTTGGTCCATTTAGTTGGATTTTGGGATTCCAGTCGAATTCCAGGGCCCAGAGATTGGCTAAATTAGGATGGAAACCTCATCGACCCAATATGCTCCACAGTATTGAAGAACAAGTGGATGCTGCGCTCCTTGATGCGAAGAATTGATATTCTTCGAATATGTGCATTTCGGATAATGCATCTCACGAACTATTTTCGGTTGATCTCCTGTAACTCATTTCTTTTCATTTTCATTCTGTTTACTTCTGTTGTTCATATGATAAAACTATTGACATCAAATAAAAACAATCGGTATCAGGGCTGCTAAACTTCCTGATTTAGTCAGGAGTCTCCTGGTTTTTAGACTTTTCTCCTGGTTAAAAAATCTCCGGGTACCAGGAGCTGGTTTTGGAGATTTTCTCCTGGTTTCCGAATATTGTTTTTTAGCGACGTTTTGAATCACTAAAATGAGATAAGAGAAAGAAAAAGAGAAAAAGGAACACGAACATCACACTATTTGATGAATGCAGCAACCAATAAGTAAACACGACAATTTTGTTAATATTTACAAAACTAAAGTTATCAATTAACTCTTACAAATAAACTCTACTGCAAAAACTTATATATTGTAGATAAAAAGAAAGACTGTCTTAACTGTTTATTAAAATGTCTTTAGTGCAAGAAGCTGATATCGTTGAACTATCATTCATTAAATGAAAATGTTGTACCACAAGCTGGAAATTCTGAACCTAGTTCATTAAAAACTAATTCGAAGTCTAAAACTTCATCATCATCATCCGTCACAGCAACTAAACGTTATCTATCAAAATCATAGGAGATCTTAAAAGAGAGTTTACAAACCCTAAGGTTTTCCAAAAGGGTTTCTGGAAAACCCATTAGCGCAAATATGCTTTTTCGATTTTTTCAATCTTATAATCACATTTAGTGGAGAAAATTGACGATATTCTGAAGTCTTGAACCCGTTCTGATGTTTATTGAGTGAATAGTGAATTTAATACAGGTGAAAACAGCCTGGAAGCGAAAATTTTCGTAAAACTCGCTTTTCGGTAGATTTTAGAACTTTTTCTAGAAACAAATATTGCCACAAGACTCAGCATGATCGATTACCCATAGTCTATCCGTTTTCAAGACTACCAACAGTCACCGGGTGCCAATCCTCGGACTCGCAAGAAATCCGACTCAATACCCGAGCCGCGGAAAACCAAGGTCTCGCTCGACTCTTTTTTGACATTTTGAAGAGGCTACGTTGGGCTATCATAGCATGGAAGAAAATCAATACAATCCTATTGAAAATTTTTACACAGGTTTTCCAAAGATCTCCTCTCTGTTTCTCTTTGGTTTTCAGTAAAAGCCGTTTTTCTCAGCAAGGAAAAGAAGTTTGGAAAAAGCTCTTCATACTTTTAAAGCTGGCGTGTTGGCAGTTTTTAATGCTGATTCAGAAAAATATAGTTCGAACCTTCCATCTTGCAATACAAGCACAAAAAGTCAATTTCATCAAAGAGGACGGTTTTTTGTATTTTTGAGGTCCTCTCAGTAATTTGAGTTTTACTCCATGAAGAAATGACTTTTGGAGGCTCGGAAGGTGTTATTCGTAATCAACTCGTTAAGCTGAATCTGAATATGTATAACAAAGTCAAAAATAAATTCCACTCTAAGTTTGCATTAGCTGCACCTTAATATCACATAGAAAATTTAGCCATAATTAGCGTATCAGAAGAAAATATCAATCGCATGCGGAAACGAAAATTCTAGTTTTCTTCGACAAAAGACAACCAAAAAGCTTCCTGATTTCAATAAAAGTCTCCTGGATTTTCTTCTGATTTTAAGTAAAAACCTCCTGTTGAACTCCTGGTTTTGTAAATTTGGATTTGGCAGCCCTGATCAGTATTTAGTCGTTCACATAAAGAAAGGAAATCTTAATATGATAAAAAGCAGTTTAATCCCTAGCTTGAATAACAGCGACAAATACAAAATAATTTTATTCCCTTGACAGAAAGTTAGGGTCATATAAACGAAATGTCCGACCGACCATCCGCAGTAGAGTAGTGGCACCAGCTTTTAAATTAGCGTAGATTAGCGACATATTCATACTCGAGGAGGAAAAATACCTAATTACTACTTTTTTCGGCAGGGAGACATCCTAGATGTGCGAGTCCGAAATGAAAAATGTCAGAAATTAAATTTCACATAGATCAATTGTGTGACGCAAAAAAAGTCTCAAAGGAAAGTGAAATAGTCTTTATTAATCGAGAATATTCTTTTGTTACAAATGAGAAAATAACTCATGTACCATAAAGTTTTTAAAATAAACCATAGGCCCCGATCATTGTCTTTGTCCATCTCTATGAAATTGAACATCATAAAATAAGATCTTGGCTCTTGTGCGAATAGCTACTGTGTTTTCGCCCACTACAGCCACATTAACTAGTGATTCATGAGGCCACTCAATTCTGTCAATAAGTTCGCCTTGTGCCTTGATTACAAAAATAAGACTGTCATCCACATTCAACAAAGCCCAATTATTATCGGGTAACTCTGTCATACGCGAGAAAATGCCTGTATCAACTCTACATGGTACAGTGTGAAGAATATTGAGTGTTAAATCTCGAAGTTCGAAGCGAAATTGTCGACTACATCGATTATTTTCATCTTGAATGCACAAGGCTAGCAGATCATTGGAACTCAGTTGAATGCAAGTGATTAATTCGTTCGCACGACATGTGACAGGACTTAACCAACGTTGTTCTTTTTCCCAAGTGCTGATTCGAAACAATTCGACAACGTTCTCTTGTCCCCAGTAGGTAATGAATAGGCGATCATGACGACAAGCACAGCGTCGAAATTTGTTCGACTGATAGGGTTTTATTTGAGTTATCTCGGTGCAGTGCTTTGTGACAGGATCAAAAAGAATGAGCATTTTGTCAAGTAAAATAAAGAATCGTTTTAGATTCTCATACCAACTGATTTGCCGAATCTGCATACATAATAAAGAGTATTACTATAAAAACTGTGATTTATATAAGGTGCCGCTAATTCAAAAATCAAGCACTCTTCATTTTTCCTTGAAAGACACATCATCCGATGCAGAATTTTGTGCTGATTACGAATATCACCTTTTTAGTTCGATTTGTTTGAGTTTT